TGACTTGATCAATGCACAACCTATACATGTAACAAAATCACACTTGTAACCAATAAATTTATACAAATAAAAAAAAAATATGGGAATACCTATTAACTAATTTTACCAACTCCAGATTCGTTTGGCAATCTGATCTATACAAAATAAATTCATTCGTGTTTTACTTATGTGTGTTCCTGACAATTAGTGAGGAGATGACATTTGTATATCTTCCATGAACATTCTCTTCTCATACTTTATCTAACATTTTTTCAGGTGTTTTCATTTGTTCTTGTCATTGACTTATTCTGAATATAAAATCTTTGTGATATATACTGCAAATATTCTCCTAGTCTGTCACTTGTCTTTTTAAGTTTGTGTATGTAATATTTTGCCATGTATAAGTTAAATTCCTTATGTAAACAAATGTGTCAATTTTTTGTGCTACTGGGTTTTATATATTGCTTAATAAGTCCTTTCACACAAAGTAAATGAAATGCTTTCTATTAATAGTATTCTTATTCTATTTTACAAATGCTTTGCTTTTAGATTTTAACCACTCAGAATTTATTTCACAGAGAGGTATGAGACATGGGTCTCTTTTTATTTTTTCTAAATGGGAAATTAATTGCTTCAACACAATTTAATACACTCTTTTTCTTCATACAAGTTATCTCTCTCTGGAATTATTAAATATTCCTGGTACAAAGAATTGAGGCAAGTGGGAATATCATAAAAGAAATTAGCACATTTAGTATCTGCAGAAAGAAATGGTAGGAAAGTATCATCCTCCTCACTCCCAGAATCTAAAGAATAACCTAATGGCTCATTCACCCAACTTTGATTATTTTATTAGCATGAAAAATAATAATGAACTTGCAACAGAATTGGTTAGCTTCTGTATTACTAAATTAATTATAATAATTAGCAGTAAATCATTTCCCCCATGCCTCAAATAAAGATATAATCAAAACTGCTTTTCATAAGAAAAAGAGGTCAAGTCACCCTTGTTATCAGGGGTTTACTGCAAATGGTATGACAGAAATTTCCATGGATTATTCATGAAGGAGTTAACACAGACACATAGAAAAGAAAGAGCTAATCAACACAGTAGACAACATACGCCCACTTCAGAAACATTTCTGGTTGCCGAACAACCAACTCAGTTTTATTTTTAAAAGTCTTATGGATCTAAAAGAAAAACAGTTCTTCCCCCGTAAGATGTACAAAAATAACTCTACAATTTCCCAGTGCAACTTGGTATCTAAAATGAAGTCTTTCAAAAATCCATATTAATATGTGCCTCCATTTGATATATTCTTGTCCTCAAGAAAAATGGAAAAGAGGCTAAATTAAAATGTCAAATATACTTGAAAAAGAGCTATTTCTTAAGTGCAATGCATAAGTTAAGGTTAGGTAGACTTGGGCACATTATTTACCCAGGTAATGTATTTACTTAGACTATCTAAATACTTAAAACATTCATTAGTGAGAATTTGCTTCTCTTCAATAAGCAGCCTACCAGAAAATTCTTGCTATACTTTTTAAAAATATACTATAAATACGTCTGTTCCAACTGTCATTCTCTTAGTCTTTCTGAGATAAGGAATACTTCCTTTATTGTTTATACACTGACCTCAGTGAAGGAAAAGGCAACATCTTTTATAACTTTGAGAGCCTTCAATTTTGTTACCAAGACTTTCACAAACACTCTTACCATCTTGACTGGAGTGATTTAATTAGTCTTTGATCCTAATCCCTTCTCCAAAAAAACGACACGAAACCATATCAACATTCTAAACACAAATGTGAAGGCTATAATATTTTATACTAGATAATGACACTAAGTGGAGATTTGTGAGAATACACAGATTTTTTTTTTTTTTTTTGCGTGGAATCCATTAGTTGTGTTTGTTGTACATGGTACAAAGAAGGGTTCCCATCTGACAAACACTGAGTTAAACATGCACTAGAATCAAATCTTTTCCTGGCACAACTAATATTCAGGAATGAAGGACATGCACCACATTGGTAATTCTCATCCCTAGTAAGAGAGTGAGAGTATGGGCATGGATAGCAAGCTGTGGGAGTATGGATAAGAAATAGAGGGGGAGACTCATTAGACAGCTATTACGTCTTTACTGGTTGTATTTTTATGTCAAAATAGGGAAAAATAAGCATATTCTTCCCAAAAGCTACGTTGAGCTTTTTAAACAAGTCTACTAACATTTAAGTTTGAAAAACAATCGTTTCTGCATTTTGTCATGTCTCTGGAGGTAACAAGGAAAAGGGTTAAAATGATTAATCAAAAAATTAAAACCTAGAGCAATGAGAAAGGAAAAAAACCCACTGGCTATAGCCATGTTATCTTTAAAATCCACATTTCAATGACCTGCCTCTATTATATACCAAATGCCATGGAAGCAGCTGTACTTTTCAAATTCTTCCATGATTGTTATTTTCCTTAAATCCTTAAGTGAGATTAAATAATTAATCAAATTAAGCAAACACATACTTTTTAAAAAGAAAAAAGCAAGATGGGCTCCCAAATGAAAGGATTTTGTGACAAGGACCCTTAACATATGGCTACAGCCTTTTGGTGTTTAAGTTGCTGCACAGTCCTGAGCTCGGCTCTCAAGAGTGAGGCCTCCCTCTAAAATAAGTCTATGCTCTACTTAGCTCTTACAACCTCTGGTAGCATACTTGACTAAAGTCAAAAGACCTCTTTATTAAGGTGAAAAAATAGGTGGAATTATTTGTCCATTTCCAGTTGCTATTTAAGGCTATAAAATTATTACATATGTTAGGGATTCTAAAAAAAAATCCAAAGATTCCTCATGCTCTATTTTATCCTTCTTTCAATCTAGTACAGAGGCATCTTTTTCTTAAATATCATATATTATATGGCTTTATTTTATAAATTCAAAAGCCCTGGAATGAGCTCATTTTTTAAGAAAAATAGTTAATTCTAAATTTTATAATACGTCACTATTATGTTTTTTTTAAGATAAAATTAGTGCATAAAAACAGGAAGAATATATACACATAAAATCTTCTAGTAAAAATCTAGGTACTAAAAAAGGTGCCACCAAAAAAAAGTAAAAATGTTGCAGAGATTTACCATGATGCAGGAACAGTCTACTTTCAAAGCAAACTGAAAGCACACAGGAGTTTTACAATGTGTTTTAAAACACCCTCATTAATGTCTTCTTTGTTGTTTTGCAGTTTAAATATTTCAGTTGATAGGCTAGCTTGCCAAAATTTGCTTCAACAAAAGAGTAAACTGCTTGGGGAAGAAAAAAAGAAGGAGGCAAACAGACTTCAGTAAGCCAATATGTTGTGCTGCATACAGCCAGCATTTGCCCTGTAAAATATATGCTTCTCAGTATGCAGATTGTGTAATCCCTTTAAGTAACAATTACTAAATTAAACAATGCAATCTGTCCCACTGGCAAGAAGTATGCTATGCTCTGGATTAAGAGATTCCATTAGGAGATGAACTCAGCTTCTAGCCCTGAGGCCAGTAAAGACTGAACACATTCCAGACAGGACGCAGCCAAATAGACAGTCTCAGGTGTGGTGAGAGAGAAGCAGCTGCTCCACTCAAGATTATACCTTGCAAACCAATTCAAGGAGATTGCCCAGCATCATCTGCAAGGATAACAGGTGCATCTTGAACATAAAAGAAAATGCTTTGAAAATATTCTGGCCAAAAACCTTATTTGTTTATCAGGAAAGGAGGAAAACTGTGCTAGACCTATGGAAATCCTATTTCCAACTAATTTATAAATACAGATTCCTTCCCACTGAATTCAATTCATGTGGAAAATATACATTTCATATATTTAAGAAAAAATATTGTCCAGTTATTTTATCTTAATTTTTAATATTTATGATATATTTCCAACATAGAAAAATAAAGAAAATATATCCTTATATGAATTCTTTGCCAAGATTTAATCAACATTTTGCCATATTTTCTTCAGTCTTTCTTCCTAAAATGATACAATGTATTAGAAATACAGCTAAATTCCCATACTTGTTTTTCTCCAAGGATAACTTCTTGAAATTGAGAAATATCATGCCCACATAGTTTTAGATTTTACCTATACAAACATATTCATAAAATACATATTGAATTGCTTTGTGTATCAATTCCAAAAAATGAACAACTCTAACAAATCAAAAGATGAGCAACCTGATACAAAATTGGGCAAAAGATATGAAGAGATCCCTGATGAAAAGTGAAAATCAAATAGCCAATATTATGAAAAAGTATTCAATCTCACTAGTAGCCAGGAAATCCAAATTAAAATAATAAGTTGCCATTTCACACTGAAAAGAATAGATAGGTTTAAAAATATTACTCACTGATCATTATAGAGTATATCACCAAGAAAATGAACAGAGTGGGGCATTTAACACTTAAGCCAATAATGTCTAAAAAATAAATGGCACAGATATGTCAAATAGTAACTGAACTGTTCATTCAAATCCAGTGACACAAACATACTTTAGCAGTCACTGTGATTTTTATGTAAAAAATGCTTGGGAATTATTTTATATAAAAACATATGATAGCATTAAGTTTATCTTAGCTAAGAAATGTTAAATTAAGCAAGAAATATTTTACTACTCAACTTTACACAGAAGTCAGCTTTAAAACCATTAAGAAAATAAAGTTATTACGATAATTTTTCTGAAGTACACACTGCTAAAAATACAACTTGAGAAATATATGACATTAAAATTTTTCTTTCTGATGTGTAAACTCTAATCAAAGCTTGGAATCCTGTGTCTACCACTCTGCTTCAGACATTGAATTTAAATAGTCCATAATAACATGAAATATACCCAATCAACACTAGCTAAATGAAATCATATTTTAATGTGATAATGAATCCATGATTGGAGAAATATAGTATGTCTGATATGCTATTCCCACAACTCCCCATGAGCACAGACCTCTGGAAAATTATAAACAAGGTTTTCCCATAAATAAAATAGTATTTCCTTTGTACCTTAGGAGGAGAGGATGGAAAGGAGGAACCATAGTTCAGGCCATCACCACAAGCACTGCCATGTAGAGATAAAATAGATGCTTGAGTGGAGTAGACACTGTCATTATCAGGAGAATATTGAGACTCAAATGTGGATTCATCCACTAAGTCACCATCATTTGTGTCCACCTAGGAATAAAACAATATCAGTTGGAAATTCTGTTCTGTTATATATATGACAGTCTCAACTAGACGCTAAAAGGCATACTGATATCATTCTTTTATCTATTCTATCTTCTATATGCCCTTTTCAACACATTAAAGACTGACTAATGTAGCAGAACAAGGATGATTGTCCACCTACAGCAGTGCATGCTAGCATCCAAGGTTATTTTATTCCATCAATATAAAGGGCTAAAGGTAATATTAACAAAGGGTCTGGATCAATTCTAAACTTAAACAGTTAAATAAGGAAAATATTTGCTTTTTTCCACTTCTCCTACCCAAATCTTATCATTGTAATGAGGTCATCAATTTTCCTATTCAACTAAAATAAACTGTTATTCAACAAGGTAATTATATATTTGTAAACTGTACTAAAACTATATATTTTGTTTAAATTATCTTTAACAAGATTTTAAAATCATTCAAGTTGCTGAAACCAAAGCAATAATCTGTGATTTTATGCTAAAATTATACCAACAAACAAAAGGCCTAATTATGATCTGGTTATGATGATACATTTAGTTATAAACTTCTGTTGGAAAACTCATACAGAGTGAGAGAGAGAATTTCACTACATATTTTCTAAAAATCCTACTACTATTTTATGTCACAGAACCAACAGAAAGAATTAGGTCATGATGAGCTTGAAGCTCTTCTTGCAATTTATTCACAGTCACACACTAGAGGAAACAGAATTGACATAAATTACTACCCTTCTCTGATATTACCAGCATTTTCTGTCTACCTTGACAAAATCCCATATGTTCTACTTCTTTATGATATCAACTTACTTGTTTAGCCAGCAGAAGTTAGAAGCATTATAACATTATACCAGGCCACATGCTTGCAAAAGCCTATTAAAAATACAGGTGGGCCATTTCAAAGTGACCACTCTTCAAATACATTTCACAGGCCTAATACTATATTTTAAATACAAGTTCAAATTCACAAGTGAGTCACTATGTGGATGTTTACCTTTACAAATGTACATTATATACAACAATCTAGACAGTGTTAACTAAGCCTTATGTCATAAATTACAATAGACAAACATTTGTTTTAAGTAACATTAAAAAAAGAATACCTCGATATAATTTGTATACCTATCATTGGTGACTTCAAATGTTAGGAGAGATCCTAACAATATGTTTAATTACTATAGAGATAAAACACTAGAGCCCACAGTAGTTGAGTGGACAGTCCAAAATTACACAGCTGGTTAGGGAGAAGAGCCAGGACACTTATTAGCATAATAAAAATGCTGTGATCATATAAAAGTAGAACTAATCTTCTTTCTCATTGGAATTCTTTGAGGTTTAAGGAAGCCATGTAAACTCTAGGGATAATATTATTTCTTAAAATACTTTAGAAACAATGATATAGAATGTTTGTGTCCTGCAACATTTCAAAAAGAATTTGCTGGCCGGGCGCTGTGGCTCACGCCTGTAATCCTAGCTCTTGGGAGGCCGAGGCGGGCGGATTGCTCAAGGTCAGGAGTTCAAAACCAGCCTGAGCAAGAGCGAGACCCCGTCTCTACTATAAATAGAAAGAAATTAATTGGCCAACTGATATATATATAAAAAATTAGCCGGGCATGGTGGCGCATGCCTGTAGTCCCAGCTACCCGGGAGGCTGAGGCAGAAGGATCACTCGAGCCCAGGAGTCTGAGGTTGCTGTGAGCTAGGCTGACGCCACGGCACTCACTCTAGCCTGGGCAACAAAGCGAGACTCTGTCTCAAAAAAAAAAAAAAAAAAAAAAAAAAAGAATTTGCTATGTCTGGGTTTTATTAACACTATAGTATCTTAGAAAGTTCACTGCATACTAAGCTATCTAGTTTTGAATAGCCAACATAATGCCCATGGAGAGTAGGGCCAAAAGTTACCTGTATGTTACCTGGTATTAAAGTGTAAAATTATTGCTTTTATTATAATACACACCAAAATTTTCTAAATGGCTGTTTTAAGAGCTCAGAATTTTAAAATATTGACAAAAATAACTATCTCCCGAAAATTAGGATTACCAATATGTACACAAAGTAAAAGAAATAATTCACACTCTGGTTTAAAGTAAGATGTGTACGATCACTTATAAATACATAATAAAGAATTTGACAGATTTAAAACCTCTCTGTAGTCTAACAAAACTAAAACAAGTATTGAAAACAGGCATATTCCTTTCTAGTGAAACTGGACAATGTTTGACCTCTTGAAAAAGTTTAGTAAGGAACCAAGCTTTAATGGTAGTACTGTGAATAGGATGAACAATTCGTTATAGTTATATTATGTAAATGTCATGTGTATATTTATGTCTGGTATTTAGTTTTATCCTTAAATTACTGACATAGCATTGTCCCCTCTCCCAGACAGAAAGGTTATTAAAGGTAGAGTGGCCCCTAAATACTTTTATTCTAATGAATAATTTTTTAAAGATCAAGCAGAAATAAAATTTTAATTTAAAATTTTCTAGTAAATCAGTCTGTTTATATATATGTATTTTTAGAAAACACAGTTTTACCTTTTCTGGAAACTTTCATGTTCTTAATTATTCTACCAATTTATATAATTTTCACACTATTCATATCTAAGGTGAAAAATATGCCTGCCATTCATTAAAAAGTAGCCAAAACACTGATTTATGACTGAATACTTAAAACAGTAAAAGAATGCCTAGACATATCCATGTATGAAATTAGAGCAAACAAGTGCTCCAACAACTTTAGGTATGATATAAAGATTAATTCTACATGTTGACACAATACAATTCTAACTGATTTTTCCCCACAAATTCAATAAATATTTTTCACATTTATCATGATTTTTCTTCCCATTTCCAAGTGTGAGAACCATTTGGTTAGAGAGAACATGTTTCCAAAATATAATGAACAAAGAATATAGTAGGACTTTTTCAGAATATTTGGAAAAGCAAAGTAAGATACATGAGATCTGAAAGAAAGCTTGATAAATCGTGGCCACTAACCAGAGCCAAGTCAGCCCTGAAGAGAGCTTTGTCAGCCAGCCCTTCCTCCTCGCATGAGTGTGGTGGATACAAAAAGGAATCCTCCTTAGCAGAAACATAACCTTCTTCTGGTGAAAGCTGCAGGGAGAATGGCGTTTTTCAGGACCAGTTCATGGAAGAGAGAAAACAGCAAAGAGGAAAGGAAAGGGAGAAGGAACAGTAAGGGAGGAAAAGTGAGAAGAGAAGAGAAAAAAAATGGGAAAGTTTTCAAATGACAACATACAACTTGAACATAGATTCATAAGTATAAAATCTGATAAATATTCATATATAACATTGTTATTTGGTAAGGCACAATGAGGATATTTATTCCAATATGAACATCATCTGTTAGATATTCCCCTTTCTACTCATTTTTTTCATCCATCTTCTTTAAAAGATGACCCAAATCAACGATTTTTCTAATATAACAATCTTCTATGTATTTTTATCTGCAAAATATTCTGGCCAAATAATGACTTTCTAATATAGAAATAAGGCAACTTTTAGGTATTGAGAAATAAAAGAAGCTGCAGAAGAACAAAACATTAAAAAGAAGGATGAATTTCTCTCTGCCATCCTTTACTAAAATATTGTAAAGAATATAATTTACTTGATAAGGAATGTTAGTGAACCCTACAGTAAAGTCTCTTAATTTAGTATGCTCATGAAACAAAGTAAAACAAAAAATGCTCTACATGTACACAGTCTGTTTAAATTGGACCCCTGAGCAATTATATTCTAAACTTAATCACTGCACAGAAAATCTAACATTTTTATTCCACTCTAAGATAAAATGGGCTAAAATATTTAGATAATTGTTGTACCTCCATCACCTTGTATCAGCAATACATGCAGGAGCAGTATTGTATTATAGAGGAAAAAAACCTGTTTTTATTCTTTTCCCATACATATGAGTTTAATAGTTATTAAACTTCACTTCAGGTAATAGAGATATTTATTGTATGCTGCAATGCATACTGAATTTGAAATATCAAATATTGTCAAAACAGAAATTTATTTTGGAACTAGCTAGAAAAAAAAAAGAATCTGCTTCTGAATAACTTATATGGTTTCTCCTGAAAGGCAGTAAAAAATATATATTGAGTCACATTTATCATTTCTAACAGACCAGAAATAAATTTATGGTCCAAACTTAATGTCCATGATTACTTAAGTTTATATTTACATTCTCCTCTGCACTGCTCTTTTGTTATGATTTCTACAATCCTTGTTTGATTTTAGGTTGGATTAACATATTCTTTATTCTTCCTTCCCTCCCTCTCCTTCTCTTTTCATAAATATATTTTTCTTAGAATATTGAAATTCTCTGTGGACTAAAAATTGTTGCATGAATAATTTAAATAACACCTAAACTATTTTAACCAAACTTACTATTTAAAACAAATTCTTTCACAAAAATCAACAAATCCATATTGCTATTTATTCAAATATATCTATTTGTTTGCAATTTCTTAAGAGAAGGTATATTCGCCTTTTCCGTTAATATGATATTTACATACTGGAAAAAAAACAAATATTGAGAATGTCTCTAATATTTAATTGTAAAACAGTGATAAATGCCATGATGCATTCATAACATTTAATAAATGTAATGTTTTATGTAACATAAATTCATTAATTGTTTCTAACAATGCAGTAATTAATGATATGGGAGCTATTCCTTCCCAAGGGGAGAGCCACAAACTGGCACACCCATTTTGGAAAATTCAATTTCCCACTCTGCAGTAATTAGACAAATATGTTGATTCAACTGAATCCAGGAACTTAAGCCACTCTGACAGAGACTCTACTTTATCCCACTGTGATTAAGGATTCTATTATTAGTTGCTAATGCTATTAATTTTTCTAATATCCCACAACATTGGTATAGATACTTTCATCCATATTTCTTTGAAAATATTTATGCATTTATCACGATCTTATTACTGAATAAAAAAAGTCAAAAGTGAACCACAAAGCAATAAGTTATAAATTTATTCCTGAAATTCCTGGCTTGTTTTCTTTCCTTTATTTTTATAAAATATTACTCAAAATTAAATCTGCATCTTCATGAAGACAATAATCATATTGATGGAAAAAAGTAAAAGTCATGATTTAAACTCAAGAACATCTAAAACTCAAAGTAAGCCAATGAGCCATTTTGTTTGTAAATATAAAGAGAAAGCAATAAAATCTGAATTCTTACAGGTAAAGGCTTAGCAACTCCTATTCTCACAGTTCCGGATGGTGCTCCCTTCAATGCTTCTACAGCTTCCTCAAGACTGCTGTTTTCCAAGTTAACATCATTGACAAACATGAGCCGATCTCCAGGAAGAAGTCGTCCATCCTTTTCAGCAATGCCTCCAGGCACCAAAGAACGAATTACAATCACAGTACTTGCTGGATCAATTGGATCCTGACAGAACAAAAAAGGAAAGAAAAGTCAGCACATTTTTACAGAGAAAAATTCTTTTACCACACTTTATCCCTCTGAATTGTAACAGATGGCCAATTGTTTCAAGTGTCTTAAAAAAAAATTCATGCAAAAAATTTCATATAAAATTTCTATAAATCATCTGGGTAAAGGTTATCTACATTTTAGAGAGTTTAGAGAGTTCACCTGAAACAATGGCAACCTAAATTGCTGATGTTCCTGAGATTTCTTAAATTGTACAGATAACTTTAAAATTATAATTTTAATTTTTCATTAGTTGTCAAATTTTATAACTATCATTTGAGGCCAGATGTTGAGTATGTTAATTATTAACAACAGCATTTGTTAAATGGTATGTTACTATGTGGAACATCAACTCACCACTAAATGTAAAGGTAGGGCCTGTCCTTTTGAAATGAAGAAATAGAGAAAGAAACCATAAAGTATGTGGTGATGCAGTGTTTTTAGATACACAGCAACCTTAATATTAGAACAAGGCTCCAGAATCAGGCCTGTGAACACAACTCCCTGGAGTCATCTGAGATGGCATTCTGGTACAGTATTAACAAGGATCAACAACTGCACTCTAGCAGATAGGCTTCAGCATTTCCTAATACTCAGCATAAGTACAATGCAGGTAAGGACATAGGCCACACATGACCAATTTAAGCATACTCATAAATTTAGTCAAATAACTGGAATGTTAAAATTTATAATATAGCCAATTATAAATTTATTTACATTAGACAAAAGAAATAAATATCTAATTCTTTATGACTTACCATTAAAATATGAGCCATCAATTAAGAGCATGGAAATAAAAATAATGTAAATACACTCCTCAAATAACAAAAAATCCTACTGTATTTCTATAATATTCCTAAAATGTATTCTGCATGTTCCTCAAATTCCCAAGAGCTAAAATATAAAATAGTTCAATGAATTCAATGTTAAAAGAAATGTTAAAAGAAATCCTTTATGATAATCAATGAATTGTATAAATTACTATTTTGAAAGATTGACTAAAAGAAAAATTTTTGATAACTATAAAAATATCATCTGCTCTAGATATGCCAGCTTTAAAAAAAAATAAGTAGGGTATATTTACCTGATAATCTAAAATGCTAAAACCAAGTCCTTTGCTCCCTTTCTCCAGCTCTATGTGCTGAATGCCAGCCTCCCACATGGCCAAAGGTGCTTGAACCTCCTCCGCATTCTGACCCACATCCGTCATTGCCAGCACTGGATCCTCTGTCTCCGAGGACCCAATGAACTCACCTAGATCTACATGAGGCTGGATAACAGATTAGATAGCTTACTTCAGAGGCACTAGATTAGCAGATACATTTACCAATACTACCAGAAAAAGGGAGATTCTAAACAACTGTCCCGAACAAAACATTCTGAAATAAGAGTAGCAACAGTTTATCATGAAACCTCTAGGAATTAAGGTGCTAACTACTGAAAGCTGTAAAAGAGGAGGAAATACCTAAGTTGTAACAAACATTAAAAATATATGGTTCAAAGATCTCCTATGAAAGTAAATAATCAATAGTTAACATTTCAGCAGCATGATTGTGAGTCATTTTCACTTTTTTCATCAGAGTCTGAATCACCACTATGATCAGAAAAAAATATATAAAGCTATTTTGATATCACATAGAAAGAACTCATGATAAATAAGAGTAATTCAAGAGAAAATAGATGTGAAAAAGTGCTATATTCTATGGAAATAAGAGTTCTAAAATGCTGTGACTTGTACATTTGACTATGTCCTTATGAAGCTAACACACACACAGTGGCAAAACATAAGATTTGAAATCAGATTTGTCACAGCTTGAAGCCTGTCTCTATGATTTAAAAATCTGTCTTACATTGAGCAATATTCTTAATCTGGGCTTCAGAGTTACCCATCTCATAGAGTTTTTTGAGGATTACATGAGGTAACATTTATAAAGCATCTGACACAGAAACAGGTATTCAAAATGTTAGCTTCTTTTGGTAAAAATAAATTAAAGTGAATATAGGTTAACTCAACTTTGTTTGCCTGTATCAAATTAAAGAAAGATTTGTTTATAAGGATGAAATTCTAGTTTGTATACTATCTTTCTTTTAATCCATTGTTGCATAGTCTAGGACCACAGATGAATATTACATCTTCCTCTAATCCTAGCACTCTGGGAGGCTGAGGCGGGCGGATTGCTCCAGGTCAGGAGTTCAAAACCAGCCTGAGCAAGAGTGAGACCCTATCTCTACTATAAAAATAGAAAGAAATTAATTGGCCAACTAATATATAGAGAAAAAATTAGCTGGGCATGGTGGTCCATGCCTGTAGTCCCAGCTACTCGGGAGGCTGAGGCAGAAGGATTGCTTGAGCCCAGGAGTTTGAGGTTGCTGTGAGCTAGGCTGACGCCACAGCACTCACTCTAGCCTGGGCAACAAAGTGAGATTCTGTATCAAAACAAAAAGAAAATTACATCATCCTGTTTTACTATAATAATCCCATTTACATATACTCATAAAAACATGTATAGATACATATGGTGCTAGCCTTTGAGTGCTATACAATTTGGAATTATGTTTCTTGTTCTACCCTATTCTAATCACCCATGTGAATATTAAACTATATACTTTATTCTTCAAAGTTTTTAAATTATTCCATTGTGATGATTCCTTCAGTATAATGTAAATCAAATCCTAACATCATCTTTCATTATACCTTAAATGAGATTTAACTAGATTACCAATTATGCAAAGTCAAAATCTTCATTTTACATATCGATTGTGTATCCTCGCAAAAGCTGATTAGCTCTATTTCTTAACATTTTGATCTGAATGGAAAAGAATAAGCAAACAGGAAAATTGGAGTTTCTGGATGTCACAGAGAATTGTCTGACCAGTAGCATTATGAGCTCAAATTTTTCATATTTTGAAGGTATAATGTGCAAATGAGTAAGACCTACATATACAGAAGTGCTGTGCTCGATTTTAGCCATTCACTAAGCACTAACTGTATGCCAGGTACATAACTGAAAAGGTTATATAAAAGTATCTTTTACTACATGTGGACTATATACACACTATTTACATATATCAGTTTTCTCTTCTGCAAATAGAGACAATATGAGCATCTATTTCATAGGAATACTGCAAGTAAATAATACAAGTATATAGTGTGCAATTATATATAATATTATTAATCACCTTATTCAACCTTCAGAACACCTCTTTGAGATAGGCATCGTAACTTACATTTTACAGAGCAGAAAACTGAAGATTAGAAAGATGGATGATTTGCCCAACTTTGCACAGCTAGCATCAAGTCTTATTCAAACTCAGCTCTGTCTAACTTGAAGGTCTATCCTATAAACCATGAGCTATGTGAGGAAATCAAAAATCAAATTTTTTTAAAGCCTAAAAAGTTTTTAAATACTATCTAGCCTTTCCATTATACATTCAGATTAGCCCCATGTCTGTAAATGTAATACCTTTTCTGTTAGCTCAATATCACATAAGTCCAGGCTATCCAATTCTGATTGGGTGGTGGGAGGCACAGTTCGACGACAGCACACCATGGTCACTTCTATAGGCAGTTCTTTCAAGATATTCACCACATCTTGGTGGTTTTCCCCAAGCAAAGTTATGCCATTTACCTGTGGGAAAAGATACATTTTCCAAGAAAGAACATTTCTTTTAAATACAATTTTTTATTAAATAAATATACATTTTACTATGGTGATTACCATAGTTCTGTGCTCAGAACTACAGTTAGACCTGTGGAAATACTATCTAGAACAATTTATGTGAAAGTTTAGAGTTTGTTGGAATTGGAGCTTCTACAGCATTGACAGGAAAACCACTAGCTTTCATTCATGTTTGATATACCAATGTAAGATTTTGGGAAAAGGCGAGGTAATAAAAATATTCCCAAAAGATAAAGGGGGAAAAAAAGGTTTAAAAAATTGCCATTTTATACAATTATTAATTGAAAAAAATGGCATATATGGTATGCTAACATGTTATAAAAATGGAGGAAAGAGCATATTCAAACTTTCCTATTTATGAATTTAAAATACTAGCAGATTACACAGAAACAAATATACCAGTAGTTACCTAATGAAGGGTGATAAGAACTGGGTGGATGGGATGTTTATCTCTGTATTCTCTGCAATTGAGACATGTAAACGTATTGCCTATTCTCAAAATTGAATAAATATTTAAAAATTTCCAAAGAACATTTTTATAATTCTTTGGACCTAATGAAAAAAAAAAAAAAACAGCATGGAATTAGGTCTGAAATTCAATGTACATAGAGGTGTGAAATTTCTGCTTTGGGCAGTTTTTATTTGTAGATGTCCTACAAGCATTCTTTGGAGGGGAAATTTAAAATAAGGACTTCCTTATTCACCATATTAAGGCTCCTGCAGCCTTTTCAAGAGCCTTATTTAAGAATAAGAAAGAACAGCATAACTCCTTACTTCCAATAGCTCATCTCCACTGAAAAGCTTCCCACTGTGTCCAACAGGACCTTCTGGTAGAACAGATCTGATAAAGTGATGTCCCACTGTTGCTTCCAGACTTATCCCCAACCCACTGTTCTCACTAAACTTGCTCACGTGGGCCACCTGTAAAAAGAAAAATCACCACAATTCTAATACTCTTCCTTTTTTTTAATTCACATACACTTTATGTTCACCTAAAATGGTCAACTTTCCCACAAAGCTTCAAAAACATTAATGTAAAACTGCAAAGCTTTGGAGCTTTGCCCTTGAAAGAATACTGGTATCTTTCAGTTTCATGAAACAACACAAAATGAAAACGAAGCAGCTATTACCTAGATCTCTTTTGCTTCTCATAAATAGGTACAATTTCTTGCATTGTTTCCTAGATAAGGAAAATGAGATTCAGAGAGGTTACCTTAACCAGAGTGACACCGATGGAAAAGAGCTTGGAACCTAAGCAGTCTGAACCTAGAACCACACTCCTGACCTTATGCTGTTTCAAGGGACAACAATGGTTTTAAAATTAATAGCATTAAATGCCTACATTTGATACTCCTCTGGGACTCTTTCTGATGATTACCTTTATTACTGCCATAAACTTCCTGCTCAAATATCACTATAAGTTAGGAAACAAGGGAGGGGGTAAGCTAACCTACCACTATTTCATAGTTAATTCCCATAATCCTTTGCCACTTTGTCAGCAGGACAGCTTCTTGTTGTGCATCTTCTATTGCTTCTATCTTGGCTGGTAGTGATGGACACCCTGAAATAATCAGGGCAACTAAGTTAGTGACAAACTACAAAAATCGCTATATCTTTACATTCTATACCAGGGACACTGTGATCAGAAAACCTGTCTATAGTAGTCAGACTTTTCACCCAATATTTAGGTTACTTTCATTTCTAGTCTTATTTTAATAATTTAATTTAGAATCCCACAGTTTGACACTATTCTCTTTTAATAGATGTCTTTTAGATCTTAACTATATTTACATCAAGGCATCACATATTACCTAACTTTTTTAAAAAGTATGAGGACTCAGAGTTTTTCCTAGGATTCACCTGATAGTCCTTTGGTGACTCTATAGTAGAAAATCATGTCACCTTCTATGTCAGTTTGCCTTTCATTTTCATTTACTTCTTCAGAGGAAAAAGGACTATATACTATTACTTAGCAAAAAAAAAAATTAACAAATAATGTATAAAACTCCATGTACAATGAGAAAATACCGATAACAAATAATGAAAAAGTGAGATTGTACAATAACATAAAAGCCTACAATTGGAATCTCTCTAATTGGCCAAAAGAGAAATGATAAACAAAATACCACTAAACAAACTATGTAAACAATATTAAATTTAAAATGCTTAGCTAAAATAAGAAACTGGTTGAGAAGAATTTTAAAGTCATAATCAAAGATTTTGATATTTCATCACAGTTTTTATTTTTTATTTAAAAAGAGAGTCTCACTCTGTCACCCAGGCTACAGCACAGTGACATGATCATAGCTCACTGCAACCTCCAACACCTGGTCTCAAGTGATCCCAAAGGGCTCAGCCTCCCAAAGGGCTAAGATTATAGGTATGAGCCACCACACCTGGCTTCATCATAGTTCTTACTCATAAAAGTTGTCTATCACAAATTTCCATTATGCAGTACTCTCTAAATTAATTTTTTAATATCCCCTTTAGCATTCAGATTTCAAATTTAAAGATGTTCCAAAATGCAGAGTTCTCCCATCCAAGTACTAACCAGGCTCAACCCTGCTTAGTTTCTAAGATCAGACGAGCTTGGGCGCATTCAGGGTGGTATAGCTCTAAAAATTTTTTAAAATAGCTTAATGGTCTTCTGGTCCAAGTTTGTATAAAAAAAATGAATTAAACAGAGCCTAGGTTTATAGTAAGAGAATTCTCAGGAAGCTTGATAATTTCTCTGTATAATTACTTTGCAGACCAACTTCCCAACATTAAAACTTAGAACTCTTGAGAAACTGAGAAATGAGAAAAAGCCTCCCAAAACTGAATAGTTTCTATTCCTAAGAGCATATACTTTAAAGATTCTCCTGCATTTACTTTAAAATACTTTAAAATTTTATTACTGTTTGCTCAATAAGGTAGAGATACGTTGGCTGTATAGAAACAAGGAGATTTTACCACAACCAAGTACATAGTCTATTAATTCCTAAGGAGTTCTTGTTAAAAAGAAAAAGAAAAATGTAGAAGAATGAGTAGACTGACTCAGGAAGAAAATATACCAGCTATAATTGAACCATTTTAATCTATAAGAGCAATTAGTCACATTTATAAATAGAGATTTAAAAGCATTTCTTTTTTGAAAGATATTTATTTTAGCAACTTACAGTATATCCATAGCATCCCATTTGCAAAAATTATTTCTCTTAAAACACAATGAACAACATAATAACTGGGTTCTAGGTGTTTACCTTCCTCAATTGGTAATATGTTGGCATTTCTCCTCAAAGATAAAGAATCTTCATCTTTTTCATAATTTTCTTAAAGATAAAAATATTTTAGTAGTTACATCTTAAATATATTTAAGCATTTGAATTTTTTGAAATCCACTGTATTTATTTGAACCCCTAGATGAGAGTCTGTTTTTTGAAGATAAACTTATCAATAACAATATGTACTTAAAGGAAAGTTCTGCTAACAGACAAAGAAGTTAACACATTTCTTTTGTGATTTGCTTCCCCACCTCCTACTACTGCAGCAAATAATATATGGCATATACATCAAAATGGTCAACAGTTTTAAAAATGAAACAGCATGTTCCAGCCAACAGCTTGACTTCTACCAATAAACCTTTCCATCACTGAGTTACATGGAGATTTCAGTAATTTACAGAGACATACACGTAAAAACAGCTTATGAGTGATATTTCTAAATGTGTAAATTCAATTCCTTCAAGGAAAATCTGGGCATGTAGAGTTATCCTGGGGCTCACATAAATAGTCCAGGTAGAAGACTGTCCCCCCAAAGAACATTGCAATGACATCCAGAAGTAAGGCAGGAACAGAAAAGTAAATGACTCTGCATGTTTCCAATTGAGAAATAGTGACAATGATGAATAGGATAGAAATCTGCTTTATTCAGAAACCCATTCTACGGTTTAAGGGCACATTTCTGGTTCTAGTTAATCATAATTTATTAAAATTTCTTTTTCTACTTGGTTCATAATAAGTAGTTGAGGGTAAAAAATGATTTTTTAATTCAATTATTTCAGAATTAGAAAAATATAAAGGTCTAATTGAAAACTAGATTAATATGACATTACCTTTGCTTATGATGGCATTAATAGGAGACAGATCTGCATCTTTCATGACATCTTCTCTTGACTTGATCTCAGCTTCCTTCTTTATTCCTCTCCTCAGGAGTGTCAGGTGCACTGTTTGTCCTGTGTGTCGCAGTACCTCTACTGCCTGCTGATTAGTAAAGCCCTGAAGGTTTGTGCCATCTACCTGTGATAAAAAGATGTTAAATAAATGGATATTTGTATTAAAAATTCACAAAATGCATATTTACTATTTGTTAGTGAGAAAAGAATAGAGAATGAGTATTCCCCTAATTGGGGGATAGGCAATAATACTCTCACCTGTTTGGGGACAGTTAGGGCAAATGCACCAGAATAACCTGGGAGGGTTCTGTTTGTGTTAGTTAACATAGATTCTGAAATACCACTTCTAGGAATTATGAGCCAATAGTTACAGGGTAGGGCCCAGGCTCTATGCTGTTTAAAATATTCTTTTATACTCTTTAGGTGATCCTGATGCACAGTCAAATTTGGAAACCAGAATTATGCACGATAAAAAGGTACAGAAGACAGTGATGAAAGCATTCACTAAGAGCACCGATGTATCCCAAAATCATATTTATGCTGCCTTTTAAAAAAAGAAAAAACAAAGACAATAAAACTGTCTTGTTATTTCCTTGTCTCTTCAAAAAATATATGTGATTTTCACTATTTCTAGTTCACAAATGATAAAACATTTGAAAATTCTCCTGTGATCTTTCCAAAATACAGATGTGATCATATCACCCCAACCCTGCCTTATATAGAACACTCTTAGGACAATGCTACAAATCCTCCAAGTGTCTCCACCTGCCATCATCACTATCACCCACCATCACCAACCCCAATTTGCATGATGCTGCCCATTACTCTCTGCCTTCCAGCCACAGAGAGTCCATTTCCATTCTTCTAACTTGCAGCATTCCCTTCATCCACAGGGTCTCTGTAAGTCCTGTTCACTCAGCCTAGACTCTGGACAGCTCACTTTAGCCCATGCTTTTTCTTATTAGTTCACTTACAAAACATCTATAATTGCTTTAGATTTTAATTCAATAGTTATTTACACAATTAAACTACCTTGATGTCCTTGACTATAGTCAAAGTCCCCTTTTGCCCATTTTTCCTCATAGTACTTCTCAAAATTTTAATTTCACATTTTCTGTCATTATGTCGTTTATCATTGTATGCTCCAAGGACAGGTTCTGTGTCATTTTTTATTACAGTAGTGTCATCAAAAGATAGCTCTGTCTGCACAGTAGCTATTCATCCCAAATAAAAGTATAGAGCCAGTGGCTCATATGTCCAAGATTTATTAATAAAGCAAATAACCTTTTAGGATAGACAAATACAGACTTCAACACAAAATTTTTAAAAATTCATAAAATCACAGTAAAAATTTTGGAAAAGTAGAATAAATTTAATGTTGAAATTCAAAATCATTGATATTTAATTTTTAAATTGTGAAATGTCTTTAACTGTGATATGGCTATAAAATGGGTAACTGTCATGCTTTTCTTAAGCACAGTGCTGGCAATAGTAGGCACTCAAATATTTACTAAATGAATGAGAATTATAAGATCTAGATCAGTGGTCCCCAAGATGGAGTACCCTTACTGCAAAGGTTTCTAGAAGAATACAAGATTTCTAATTAAACATTTTAAAAACTCATTTGTGTTACAGATACGTGTATGAGTGTTTGTGTACATATGTATATATATACACAAATATAAGATCTATGTTAATTATATAGAGAGAATATATAACAACATATACATGAATATATAGAGAAGAGGAAAGAAAGGAAGAAATGAGTAATTATTTTTACTAATGGTGATATTTAATCAAAAATCTAGAGTTCCCTGATCTAGATGACAATCCCCTGCTTTGTGAGTTCCTTAAATCTTTTATGATACATATGAGCTAGATGGTAATTTGAACATAGGTGCCTGACTCTCTCTTTTTTCCACTAGCCCCACCCTGCTGATTCCCTTTTGGAAAGATTAACAAAACATAACAGAGAAAATACCATAACAAATTTGGAAACCAAAGGACAAAGGTCCCTACACCAGTAACTTGGAGTAATTTCTAATAGCAATGGTCTGGACATGGCCAGGTGGAAGGCAGGCCAGATGAATTTTCATGTATGTGGAAATAGCTTGTCTGATCTACAAAAATAAACTTCAGTAAAAATCAAACACTACCCTCTCACTAAAGGAGACAATCAGATGGTACACATGGATTCTAACCAGTAACTACAAAAAATACACCAACTGCGGGGCACATGCAGCAGCACAGAATTACTTACTTGTAATGAAATCACCTTAACCACACATGTGTACACACACACATACACACACAATTCTAACTCCTGGCTATACAACAAACACAGAAAACAAGTCCTTTGATATACAGAGGCAAAGTTCCCCATTGTGATGCCCTACCACTGGTTTCCTCTCTATTTTGTTTATCTACAAATGAATCAAGAGAAACTATAGTAAATTTAAACTTTCACCTTCCTTCTTGCTTTGTTAACACCCAAATCTTCTGACAAAACCCACACAAATGTCCAGTAGAATCCATTTCAATTCCTATTTTTACAAGCACACCTCTTTTTGAGAATGACCAAAGGTAACAGGATACGGAATAAGAAAACCACAGTCCAAAAGAAGATATGCACACTAAAACATCAGTGCATGTATCTTCCTATGAAATTGTTATTGCAGTGAACAGTAAAAAAGACATTTCCTGAAACTTACATTCAAAATAATTTAGATTTCATTGTATTTATGAAAGTAGGGATTATAATTACAAAAAAGAAAAAATATTTACCAAAAGGAAAAAGAAAATTGTTACAATGAAAGCAGTCAATAAGATTTTAAATACTGCAAAAATAAAATAAGCAACTAGAAGACAGGATCATGCAAGTTTTCCAATATCTCAGAGGAAAAGAAACAGATAAAAATGATTAGATAAATTAGACTAGAGAAACATAGGCTAATCTAGGAAATCTGAAATACTTGTGAGAGGAATTATAAGGAGAAGAAAAGAGTAAGGGAAAAAATAATCAAAGAAATGATTAGAGAAGAGAAATTTAGCCAAGTCTACAAACCAAAGAGGCACATGAAAAAAACAGAAAATGAACGAAATAAAAATCTAACATCTGGATATATCCTGATAAAATTCTTGTATTTCAAAGATCAAAAGAAAAAATCTATTAGCCTCTAGGCAGCAAAGAGAGAATGATCAGGTTACCTACAGAATTTGCAATAAAGAAATTACTAACAAAGAATTCTATAATTAGTGTAATGTATGTGAAAATGAAAATTGTGGTTGAGATGCTATAATTATTGATATCCTATACCAAAGTGACTTTAAAAAGGGGCCACCAAGCAGCACTTTAGTTGGTAAAGACCTATAATTCACACTTATTTAAGGCATAAAAGGGCTGGGTTGTTAAAGATTAGGAAAAACTTAAGAGGAAGATTTTTTTCTTTCTTTCTTTTTTTTTTTTTCCTTAAGAGAAAAGAGTTCTGTAGGTAAGTCTCCACCCCAGCAACTCAGGTATTTCTCCTTTGGCCTCAAGGCAGAAGAGCTGCAGTAGAGGAGGACACAGTAGATTGTATCTAACTCCATCAAGAGGACAAGGAAGAAGACTTTTAGCTGATTTGACAATGGAACAAGAGAAATTTGCTGTTAATGTTGGGACCAGCTCAACTCCCTGACTTTGGATGTGGACCAGAGCAGGACCACACACATAAGAAAGCCAGGTTCAAGTCATTTTGAAACCTACCTGAGTACCTCTAGGGAATGAGGAGACCCAAAAGAGAGAATTTATAGAACAGACCTCTAAGATACAAGGGACAAGGGCAAGAAGAGTCAGCTAGATGAAAAATCTATCATTTATCATTCATGGAAAGTTAAACCAAATAACTATCCATTGAGACCTCCAAGGAGCCCAAGAAGGAACCCTAAGAGACAGTCAGTTTTAAACATCTGCCAGACTAATGGAGCACAAAGCCATCTTACAGCAGTACCAGTAAAAGACAAAATTTCCCCTCCTCCTTCCTTCTCTTTGTTCTTGCATCCTTTACACCATAGAAGCCCACAATAAGGTGAAAGAAAGTTAGGTGGAGAAAGACAGGCTGGGTGGTACACTCCATATCCCTAAGTAAGTCATCAGTTGGTATCAGGCTTCTGATAGGCCAGGGAGTACTTTAAAATTAGATTATTATTTAGTATGGAAAAGTTTTAATTACTAAACTAGAACTGTATTTGGTGATTTTGATGGGTCACAGGATATTTTATTCTCTCAGAATAACCTAAGTCATGGGACTTGGCTAAGATTTCTTTTAGTGGAAAGGGAAGTACCTTCCCCATTAAAAATTAAAAGGAGCAGTTGATGACAAGAGTTTTAAAGTTGTTTAAGATTGTATCCACTAAATCCTCCTTGTCCAATGTATCTGTTATCCCCAGCCAAATTGTCAATGTATAAGAAGACAATAGAAGTAGACACAAAAAGTTTAGAAAGTCTACCAACATGATCTCGTCCTGTAAGATTTACTCAAAACACTCTAGGTGAATGAAAGATTAATCAGATTTAAAAATCAAAGTAAGAAAACTGTGGCATACAAGATCCAATGCAAAGCAACAAAATAAGAAAAATTCAAATCTAAATGACACTATTATGCAACAAAACTAAATTCAAATGCTTCAAGTCCTTAAAAGAGAAGATATATAAAGTGGTATGTAATAATCTGTTTATAACAACTAACAACTGTAAACAAAGTCAATGAATAAGGCTGCTTAAATGTATCACAGTAGATCTATATGTGCTTAAAGAATAAATTTTTAAATTTATTCTTTAGGTAAATTTTTAAGTAAAATAAAAAATAAAAAGGAATAGACAAATATGATACTATTTAATTATAATAACACAAAAATTTTCTAAATTTTAAACTATAAACTATTATTAATGGTTTCTATGAGATAGTTTTTTAGTGATGTTCAAATTTTATACTTTATAAAATTTTAAACCTCAAGGATAAAAATTAATCTAAAATAAATTAACATGTTATTTGCTCTCATAATAAAGCAAAAAAAAACACAGCAAAAATTTCATTGTTGACGTTTCATGAAAATTCTTAAAAAGCACAGAACTTTAAGCTACAAGATTTTCATTTGCAATAGATTTTTATCGTTCAACTTTTTAAAAATGAAGTTTCCTTAAGAAAAATCTAATGTGAATGGTTTTGCTTATTTAATACCAATAAACTTCAAATACTTAAAGAAAAAAATGCATTTTTTCCTTTATCTTCAAAACTTGATGACTTGAATTTCAAAATGTATTCCTTACCCAAATGTCAGATGATAGTACTAGCACAGAAGAAATTGCTATAATGGAATAGTCATGGACTTTTAAACTTAGACTTCCATTCAAATTTCTCAATATCTTCATCTGCAATATAGAAATAAAAGAACCTACTTTCCCAGAATTAGAACATTTTACTGGGAAGATACTCAAGAGCTGATATCATTATTAAAAGAGTAAACAAGCGAGTAAAAAACATAAAATCCCCAAGGCTTTAGGAGAGCAGTTTTTGTTCAACATAATCACATCCATGCAACATATGAGCAAAAGTCACTGAAGCCTAAAGCTGGGGCCCCAGTTAGCTCTGGTCCTTCTTTATGACAAGAAGAAAGTCAAGAGGTCAGTTCAGACCCAACAGTACCACAGACAAGTGTGTAGTGGAGCTGGGTACAATGACAGCAAACTGCCTATGCATTATCTCATAAGAAGAAGAAATTTAATATCCTCATAATCATAATGTGCACTGCAGATACCACAAGTAACTGGAACAATTATAGGGGAGAAATAGTAGTTGGAACAACTCGCAAAACCTGGTCCCTTAACACACTCAACCTAGCTTGCCAACCTCTCCTCTAACACAGCCTATATATATTAAGAGAGAACTTGAAACTTATTAACAAAGTCACAGAACATCAAAAGCAACATTTGACACTTTTCCTTATTTATATGTTTGTTTAATAATTTTTTTCAAATTTTTTATCATAATTCCATACAGCTTTTAGCATGGATCACTGAATATCAAAGTAAAAAGAATGAGTATATGATTTTATCTAATGACAAGTTTGGCCAAATTTTTGAAAAATAAAAATACTGTTTTTGTCAAATAATTGTTATACAGAATACCAACATATAAAATGGGATAAAAGGAAACATTTGCTCCCTGTCCCTATAATACTTATAGCAAAACCCCAGGAGTCCACAGAATACAATTTGCAAAACAGGAATCATATAACAAAATTGTTTTAAGTTGCAAAATAACACTTCCTCAAAATAGTAAGAAATAATAGATTATGGTTCCAATAGCTGCTGCTGTCAAAACAAAAATTGAACAGACAAAGACTGCAGTTGTGAAAATGCAACCGGGTATGAATGACTTTACTAAAAATATCTGAAAAGACCACAAGATGGTGATATTTCCAACAAAATTAATGCATATCCAAAAGCACTGCATGATGCTCACCCAGAGTTTGAGATGCTTCTAACATTGTAGTAAGAAAATGTTGCTAAAAATTAAAATTAAAAATCAGAATATGGACAACAGTGAAGACAAGTGATTTCATTGCACGCAAGAAAACAATTCAGAGAAAGGATATTTCTGCCTTCGAGTCAACAATTTCCTTCATCACTGACCTTGCCTAAGAATTATATTTGACATTCCACTTATATAAGAATGAAAATAATGACAAATTTGAAGGGAAGCAACTGTGAGATTCTCAAATATGTAATCACTTTAGGGCCTCAATAAATATCTGATTAATTATTTAATTGCTACCAGGTATTTTAAATAAAGTACTCAATTGGTTCTCCTAAAACATCATACAAGGGAAGTTTCCTTACCCCAATTTTGTAGGTAAAGAAACTGAATCAAAAAGCTTGCTAAGTGGATAAACATAGACTTATCCCAAGAATCAGGAATTCCACTCCTAAGTGTATACTGAAGAAAAATCAAAACGTTCATCCACATAAAAACTTGTACAAGAATGTTCATAGCAACATTATCCATAACAGCCAAAAAGTAGAAACCACCCAAATGTGCATCAACTGATGAATGGGTAAATAAAATGTGGTATATCCCATACAAAGGAATATTATTCAGCAATAAAAGGAAATAAAGAACTGATAAAAAAACAGCTAAGCCTTGAAAACATCATGCTAAATTTTTAAAAAAGTCAGCTACAATGCACCACATCTTATATGATTCTATTTATATGAAATGTCCAGATTGGCAAATCTGGACAGAAAGTAGATCGGTGGTTGCCTAGGACTAGGAGGATGGAATAATCAGGGAGTGACTGCTAATGAGGATGAGGTTTCTTTTTAGGTAATGAAAGTGTTCTAAAATCAATTGTGGTAATGAATGCACAACTCTGTGAATATACTAAAAGCTATTGAACTGTACACTTTAAATGAGTGAATTGTATGGTATGTGAATTATATTTCACTAAGGTTAATTGTTTAAAAAGCTTTCTGAAGGATAATAAGGTAACTTAGAGGAAAAAGAATTAGCTATATTTTCTATTTTTAATTCAGCATCAGACATGGATTTAGACTCCCCATTTATTCATTCTCTTTGCCTCACTTTCCCCCAACATTAAAATGTACAGTGGTTAATTTTCATTGTATAGTAAAATAGAGATACACAGAGGAAGCTCATTTCCAGCACATAGCCAGATCAGGTGGCAAACACAACTCGATATTTAGATTTCAAGGTGAACAGGTGTAGGTAGGAGTTTCACAGAACAAAACCCAAGAAGATGCAGGGAGTTGCAATGTAGACTCAAAGGGAAGAGATAAAGGACTCCTTTATTCTCTTTTTTTAAACATTGTGGTAGATAACACATAAAATTTAGCATCTCAATCATTTTTTTTTTTCTGTTGCCCAGGCTAGTTTCGAACTCCTGGGCTCAAGTGATCCTCCTGCCTTGGCCTCCCAAAGTGCCGGGATTACAGGTGTGAGCCACTGCACCAAGCCCCATTTTAATCATTTTTAATGTACAGTTTAGTAGCATTAAGTATAATATATTCACATTGTTTGTGCAACAGGTCTCCAGAACCTTTCATTTTGCAGAATTGAAACACTATACCCAATGAACAACTTTCTATTACCCGGTCCCCATTCCCTGGTAATCACCTACTTTTATGTTTTTTTAAGTCAGACTAGTTTCGATACCTCATATAAATGGAATCATACAGTTTTGTCTTTTTGTGACTGGCTTATTTCACTTAGCATAATGCCCTCTAGTTCTATCCATGTTGTAGCACGTGATAGGATTTCCTTCTTTTTAAAGACTAAATAACATTCCATTGTATGTACTGTGTTTCCCCAAAAATAATACAGGGTCTTATATTTTGTTTTCCTCAAGAAGACACCCTACGGCTTATTTTCAGGGGATGTGTTATTTTCCCCTCAAAGCCTCAGCCTGCAGCACGCACAGGATGTCCAGGATCTGACAAGAGGAGCCAACCTTGTTGGTGGGGCTGCCTGCACCTTTCGGGTCACCTCTGGGATAGTAGCTGTCACGATGGGGCAGATGAGAAGGGCTGCTTGCCTTCTTGACCGCTGCTCCTCGACAAAATGCGTGGGTTGTACAGATGTGCTGTGTAGCCATGCCCATCACTAGGTCTTATTTTCAAGGTAGGGCTTATATTGTGCAAATGCTTACAAATCCTGCTAGGGCTTATTTTATGGGTAGGTCTTATTTTCGGGGAAACACAGTATATAACAGTTTGTTTGTCTATTCATAGACATTTGGGTTTCTTCCAGGTCTTGGCTATTGTGAATAATAATACCGCTATGAACAAGGAGTCCTCTATCTTAAAATCCTACTTTTTCACTATTATTAAGAGTCCAACAGGACAAAAGAGATTTAATGAGGAAGAAACAAATAGTTATTGAGATTAATTAGTATTCCTTCCCCAAGATGTCTTCCAAATAATATTAATATATGTTCAGGAAAAGAAAGATCCTAAAAAAGTTTAAGAAATACTGAGGTTAAAAAGGTACACAGGTTTTTCTACTGCAGTACTTCTCAATTTTTCAGTGTGTTCTGTGAATCCCTAAAGGACCATATTGCATGCAGTTTTTTCTAAACTTATTTGACCAGGAAGCATTTGGTGCAGGGTCTCTTGGATTTGTGTTTCAGGGAGCAGTTTGGGGAGTCCAGTATACACTGACTGAAAGTCGGAATCTTTTATACACTGCCTTGAATAGCCATATATTTAAAACATATTAATATTAGTATAATAACTATGATTGATTGATCTAATTAGTTAGATTTATTTCTTTCATTGTTTTATATTTTTAGGGCTGAAAGAAGCTTTGGCCATGGAGTAAACAGTAATAGTATTCATTCAAAAAAAAATGAACACATCCTAAATTCAAATCCCATGACACTAAAGACCATGACATCTGGTCTTTACCTTTGGAGCATTTATAAGTAAAGGAAAAGTATAATACTAACATATCAAATTCATTACAACCAGTAATTGAATATATCAGAAATTATTCAAGAAATAAGCCTCCCTTTTAGAATTGAGATCAGTAAAGCTTCTATCCAATGCTTTTATTTTACTTCCACAAAATAATATAAAGGGCTATAGTAATGACAGCCTCAAGGGGTCAAAGCAAACTTAAATTAGTACAGAGTTAACTAGTTCTCAAAATTAAGTAAACTAGAAGAATGCAATTTTCAACCATGAAAATTAAAAAGGTATTATTAAATGTGCAACTTACTGCTATAATTTGGTCTCCAATTTGAATTCTTCCATCATGTTCAACAGCACTGCTTTTTGTAATGCTCTTTACAAAGATTCCTGAAGGTTCTAAGATTAGAAATAGGTTATTTTTCGCTATTTACAATGAATATCCATCCTCCATTCTCCAAATATAAAGTCCTAATTTTAAATAAATATGTATCCACAAGTGATACAAACAAAACCTTGAGGAGAAACTTAGACTAGAGAATAAGACAATTGTTTTGTGTTTCTTAAATACAATATCAGAGACACCTACATCAAATTACTCCTAAGGAAGTTTTCAACCAGTTTACCCAACAATCTGAAAACATGTAATGTTGATTCACTGTTTTATAATATACTACATATTAAATGTAATTACCAAGTCTACAAAAATTTAATGTTTTAAATTACCTAATTTTTTATCTCCAATGTAACCAGCAATGGTAATTCCTAATCCTTGGACATTTTTAGTGAGTTCCACATCAAATGTCTCATTTTCTTCACTTTTCTGAGTAGAAGCATCAACCTAAAATAAAATCAATACATACACAGAGAAATAAACATGTTAAAAAACAAGACACGTTCAAAAAGCCACAGCTTTAATTTAGGAATAATACGATATAATAAAGTGTCAGAGAACTCTGCAAGAGAATTATGGTAGAGATTGCTCTTTCAATCATGACAACATGGACTGAGAGTCACATTTTTGCTCAGAAAGGAAGGTTGGAATAAGGTTGACTCATCTTCTTATCAGAGAGATATATTACTATTTGTATACACTAAATTTTAAAAATCAAATAACAAATTCTATTTTAAGAAATGGCTCATCTAAATTTCTAAAGAAGTCAGGATGTAGTACAGTTGAAAGAACTCAGGTTTTGAATTCAGATCAACAAATCCAAACCTAGCTTTGTCACTTAATCTAGAAAGAAAACATCTACCAGGAAAAGAATAACAATGACCAGTCCAGCCACCACTTATTGAGCAGTTTCTATGTAACTGGCACTTGACTTGTCTTAATCCATTATTCCTTATAACAAACCCATGAGGTAAGTACAATTATTATATCTTCCTAAGGAACATAAATTTATCCAAGAACAAAGAGCTAGCAATCTGGTAGAGGTAGAATTCAAATCCAGATAGTTTGGTTGAAGAGCCCTTGCTCTTAAATGACATATGGTATGTAAAATCCCTAAGAGAATATAGGGGCCATAGTGCCTATATGTTAGTTGCTATTATCTTAAATTTATAGTCGATTCTAACAACATGAATATGAGTTAATCTATCCTGCAGATATTTTACTAATAGGCTGGTGCCCTATTTTGAAAACCAGTGAAATGCACCAAGGAAGTATTTTAAGTTGTTCTTTTATTTGTTTTGTAAATTCAGCCTTTACCATGAAAAGGCATTTATTTATAAGGAAAGTATGCCTTTCTGCATTGGCATTCGGGTTTCTCAGATGTCAGCTTTCTCTAACATGTAGAATTGTTATTAATTGCATGTTGGACAGAAGAGCAAAGCTCCCTAAAATTAAGCATTAGTGGACTGGTACAATAAGTCATCAATAAGCTATTGGTACTATGTACTAGCATTGTGTCAGCAGATTCTACAAAGAACCATAAGAAGAGCACAACAAAATCAAGGCTATGGGTTCTAATGGACATGCAGGTTGGAGCTGCATGCTAATATTTTCTAATTTTCTTTAAACAGACTCTGACTGTATTTCACTGATAGTCCACCTAAATGAGATATAATTTTACAGTAAAGTTTTATTTTTTTTTCATTGCACATAATTATCTGTGCAAACTTAGCAAAAGTTTAAAGTTTAGATAATTACAAGAAAATGACAGGATGAAATCTGCTTCAATTGAAACAAATGTGTTTTCTATTTTTAATAAGACTTATGCGAGTGCTATTTTAGAGGGTGGCAATTTGACTATCGAATGGTTTTAAAAGGGGCACAAGCTTCAGAAATGATGATATGCACAGAATAGATATTTTTCTAAGCTTTCAATTACATCAAGTGGTTTTCGGTATTGCATTCATTTATATATCGCTGAATACAATGTTTTGTTTACCACAAAAGAATGCCATTTAAACAGTTTCATAAACAAGCTTTCTTTTTTCTCTTTGCAAAAAATAGCAACCAAACTCAATCCTAAAAACAACAGAATCATGGAAATTTCAAGTGTTCTAATAAAGTTTTAAAGGACTTGTGGAGGAGGTTAGGATATTAAAAAGAATTTGTAGCAACTACATAGAAAAAACTTTGATAGAAAAAAAAACTTGAATGTTTTTACATCTATAGAAAAGGAATACAGACTTGCATTTGCTATACAGCTGATCTAGAAAATGGGTCTAATTCTCTTCTTAAATGTTTAAAAGATTTCTTGATAAAATCATTTTATTGCTATTTTATCCACCGTATCTGGTAAATTATAAACCAGCTGAGATAACCAATATTTTCCAATAATTTTAAAATTTTCTAGCTTTTTTCATATAAAGAACAAAGATAGAATGCTATGCCTATGAATAAAACTTCTATTATGACACCAAAAGCATAACTTTTATTAAAAAAATCATATAACTGAGTCAAGAATAATGACTTCATTACAAATCTGATACAGTTCTAAGACATATCTTAAAACAATAACACTGAAAAGTTTTAGTAACCATTATTCACTCCCATCAAGCATGTCCCGACTCTTCAACCTCCACACATCCAAAACAAACACACAAAAAAGAAAGCTGTTGGTAGAAAATGATTAGAACTATGACCCACCTTACAGAGAGCCTTCCAATCAAGAGAAAGATAGAATTAAACATTTGAAGTATTATTTAAAATTTTATCCATACTCCAAAACATTATTCTCATAAATGTTCTGCTTAGGTAAAAATGTAAAATAATAATTCAGCATTTTTAAGCAACCTAATTTTTATGTTTTCTATATTATTCCTAATTAACAAAATATTAATAGTACTGGAAAGTCCCTACCTTTCAATTTTGTTCCATTATTTGGCACCAATATATGAACATTAATAAACCTAGTTTCTACATAAATATCACTGTCATCTATTATAAGTACAATTTTCTCTGACTTTCATGTTAACTATTTTTGCCTACTTACCCGTGTCTCCGGCATGGAAGATGGGGATGAGGAGAGAGTAATGCCCAAAGAGGTGGGTGTCGTATGTTCTTCTATGGCACCTCTTGCAATCATCAATTTAACTCTATTTCCACATTGCCTAAGGACCTGTGCTACTTGCTCACTGCTCATTCCTGCCAGATCTGTGTCACCAATCTTTAGAATGTGGTCTCCACTGCATAATCGCCCATGCTGAATAAAAAGGGATTGAATAAACTATGATTATGGTAACTGCATCAGAGATATCCTAAATCAAGGAAAAGGAATAATAAAAAATGGCAAATATATGAATTACCATTTATGGAATATTAAACATGTTATAATATTAACTGTCTTCTGAAACATCCTAGCGTCACCATGTGATATGAGTAATGAAATTCACAAATATTCCTTAAAGCAACAATTGATATAGACTTCTCATTTTGATTTTTACCTACTAAATGCAAGAAAAAAAAAATCCCTTTTGGTGATTTTTTTTTTTTGAGCAACAGAAAGAAGAAAATTCCATTAAGCAAAGATGAAAAGAGAAGTTCATTATGCAAATACACATTGCTCAAAATGTGGTCATGAACCACAAGAAACCATTGTATTAATATCATGATTTTATTCCTGGACATTTCAATTATAAATGTCTCAAAAGAACTCACTTGCACCTGAAATCCTTGTGAGGTAAAAATCCAGCTAGATGTAGGGAGTGAAAAGCAGTTTTATAAGGCTCCATACTCATACAAGAGCTGTCCAATAGAAATTTCTGCAATGATGGAACAGTTCTACACTGTCCAATACAGCAGCTATTAGCAACATGTTGCTGTGAAGGACTTGAAATATGGCTAGTCCAACTAAGGAACTAAATTTGTAATTTCACTTAATTTTAATTAATTTAAATTTGAATTTAAAAAGTGCATGTGGCAAGCAGCTATAGTATTAGAGAGTACAGCTCTACACTGAAGATGAATCACATATCAGCAAGCTTGTCAACTGGGGACATTTCATTTGATACTGCTAAATGCTGGCTAATGTTTAATAGAAGAAAAATTTACATACTATTGTGCTACTGTTAATAATTCTAATGGCAAGATTACCATTAAATATGACTTTCATTTATGAATATTGGAAATGTTTGACAAACCTGACCTCCTAGTTTAAGTTCAAATGCACATGCAAAACAACAGTTTTATAAACAAAATGTTATATTCCAGTCAGCTTTATAAACAAAACGTTATATCCCTGGCAACAGTTACTTAAACTGGCAGACCTTGTAAAATTAAAATATAAGTCATAATTAATAAATGTATTAAATATTTTCTCACATATAGTGTAACAATGTTACATATCATAAATAGCAATGCTTCAATAAACTATGCTAAATAATACAAATAGGCTATACTTCAAATACAAAAATGATACCAGTGAGCCATCACTAAAGGAAGAAGTTGATCTTGCTTTTCCCCCCTCAGCAGTGAAGTTGTTTTTCATAACACTTTATGACTATAAAACAGCAGACTAAGTTTGTAATATGATTTATGTTCATAGCAGTGGGGTCTCGCTATATTGCCCAGACTGGTCTCAAACTCCTGGGCTCAAGTAATCCTCCCACCTCCACCTCCCATGTCCACTACTGGCACATACCACCACACCCAGCTTCACTGTCTCTTTTCAAAGGTATTCCTACCCTAGGTCTAAGAGAATACTTCAGGGACAGCCCAATAAAACAAAAGATTTTAATTTGGTTTCTTTGATATTATCTAAGGCCAAAGTTTCTTCTTTCCAACAAAAATGTAAAAGACAAAGCAATATTACTTGATAAAATAGCATAAAAGACCTACTGGAATTACATACCTGATCAGCTACTCCTCCAGGCAGAATGGTTTTTACTATCACACCAGTTGTTTTTCCCCCTATGATGCCAAATCCCAGACCAGATCCATCATTCACCAATTCAATAGTTTCCACATGCTGCCAGTGAAGCTAAAAACAAAGCTTGTATTTGAACTTGTAAAAATTTACAAAACACTAAAATGTTATATTACAGGAAAGATTTTTGTGATTATCACTTGGTTATGAAAATTAAATAATTGAATTCAGAGATAATAATGAGCCCTAACAATGTCCCTTTCATTTAGTATCCTTCCCTTTCAACAGAATGTCACTGCTATTGATATAATCATTCTAAAAATTATCAATACATCATCATAATGATTGCATTTCACCAGTTAAAGATAGGCACTCATTTGTAAGATCTTTTGTAGAATATCTAAAAAAAGAAAAAAAGAAAAAGATCAAGGAAAAAGTCATATGTTAAGAATCTCTTCTGCATAATCCTGAAGGTAGTATTCCAAATTAGATAACTTATTAAAGTCACTGACAGCTAACTGTAATGATATAATTGTATAATTTATAAGGCAAAGTGAAGATTATATCTGTCTACAGATAAAGTCAACTTTGTTAAAGTACTAATTTTTTTTTTGAGGAATGCCATCAAATGAAAAACTGCACAAAGAAAAGTAAACGTTGTTTTAGAAGCTAGAAACTTAAGTATAATTAAATAAATGTTATATATTTATTTAAAAGAGATAAAAGAATACAAAGAGTAAAACTCAAGAAGTACATAGAACCTACAGGAATTAGAAACCTCGACTTAACCAAAAAGAATTACTAATAGAAAAATATTCTGTTCCTTTTGAAAATTTTAGGTACTCACCGGATTAGAGTGAGCTGAAATTGTGCTGGCTGCAGATGGAGAACGAGAAACTATGGGGCTGATGAGCTGAGGCAATGAGCCTCTGGCAATAATGAGCTGGACAGTGTCTTTGGCTTTCTGCAGGATGCTGATAGCCTGTTGATGTGTAATTGTCTGATCAAGTGCCTGTCCATTGATAGCAAGGATCTGATCAGTTTCCTTTAATCTTCCATCTCTATCAAGGATGAAAAATGGGGTAAAAGACTTCTGATAGCTCTCAAGGAAATGATAGTTTCTTTGGCATATATGTTCAAATTATTTTAATCCTCCCTCTTTTTTTTTTTTTTTTGAAACAGAGGCCCACTCTGTTGCCCAAGCTAGAGTGCAGTGGTGTCATTATAGTTCACTACAACCCCAAATTCCTGAGCTCAAGCGATCCTTCTGCCTCAGCCTCTGGAGAAGCTGGGGCGACAGGTGTGTTCCACCATGCCTAGCTAATTTTTCTATCTTTAGTAGAAATGGGGTCTTCCTGTTGTTCAGGCTGGTTTCAAACTCCTAAACTCAAGCAATCCTTTCCCTTCACCTCCCAAAGTACTAGGATTACAGGTGTGAGCTGCTGTACCAGGCCTTAATCCTATTTTTAATTGTCATACTTTTTATACTTTTTCCTGGAGTTCTACTCTTTAAAACATATGCTTTGTCTCCAGGTGATAAACTCTCTTAAGGTAATTCCACTGCTACCTCTAATCAACCCCTCACATTTAAAAGTACTCTTTTTTTCAGCTACCTAATCAACCTATACATTTTAACTTGGATATTCCTATCTTTTAAAACTGAAAGGGTATATGCCTATAGAGTTCTATAGAGTGGGGCCTCTGTATCTGTGGGTTCCAGAACCATGGATTCAACTAAGTACACATTGAATATATTAAAAAAAAAAATTAAAAATAACAATAATAAAAAATAATATAAATAGAAAACAATACAGAATAACAACTACTTACATAGCATTTACATTGTATTTGGTACTATAAGTAATTTAAAGATGATTTAAGGTATACAGGAAGATATGCACAGGTTATATGCAAATACTACACAATTTTGTATAATGGACTTGAGCATCCACAGATTTTGGTATCTGCAGGGGTCCTGGGACCAATCCCTCACAGATACTCAGGGGCAAGTATATTTAATTGTTACTTTGAGTATATTAATAAAATATAGCTTAAATTACCTTGGGTCATTTTTAATACAGTAATTTTTTAAATCTAATCTAAAAGAGCCCATTTAATAACAATGGAAATGATGTTCTACTCCAATTTTTCTTTCCTTACTAAAATGTAATTAAGTTATGACTATATTGAAAGCTATTTTCATTTCAAAGTATTTGCTTTTTTATCACAGCAATGTTAATGACTTCTAAAAACTGGTCAATAACAGATTATGTTCAGTTTTTTTGTTTGTTTCTATCCATTATTGTTTTTGTGAATTCCCCTATAGTGATCTAAACCTTCAGAATGTGGTATCAAAAACAAAGATGGTGTAACAGTCTCCTACCTGTGAGCCACACTGCCCTCTTGTATCTCCTGTACAAATATTCCGAGCTCTCCCCTGTTTTCACTCCTTAGTCCCACAACACTAAACCCAAGGCCTCCACATGGAGGTTTGAGGAGCTCAAAAACTTCTACATGGCGACCCTGTTCAGGAAACAAAGCAAGAAATAAAAGTAAAAGTCAGCCAATGCAGTGACAGTCATCTTAATAGTGGTATTATATTTTTTTTTTAAAGAGGAAATTGAAAAGAATTTTCCAAAGATAATTTTTAGCATTCATGGCATAGAATGGGAAATTTTATTTATCCTGAATAATATTTCTAGAATATAACACATAATACTCAATTTAAATTGTGATATTAAAAAAAATGTAACATAGAAATCTGAGGCATCTAAACTCTTACAAAATTGACTTCTTTCTGAATGCAATTTTTTCAGATGTTATAAATGTCACTATATTCTTCAAATTATTCAGGACTTGATCATATTCTTAAGATATTATAGATGTTACCATAACTGACAGGAAGAAATGTTCTTACCTGAGCCATATTTTTGATCAGCTGATCAAATTCATCACAAGCAGATTTCCCATTGATGTGGGGAGTACCAGGTCCTGTAAGTGCTTCCAGATTCCCATTATTTGATGATAACAAAAATGATTCATTTTGCAGAGTAGGAATTACAGCTGGGCTGAGATGAGGAATGTGAGCATATTCAATATTTGAAGTTGTTGAAGTTGCAATGTTTACCTGAGAGTTATGCAGAGATTATTAATAATTTTGACATTCCATAAACTATTTCATAAAAAACATCATAAGAAGGGTAATGATGAAGTACACATGAAATTTCAAATGTCCATACCCTTTGATCTAACAATCCTATTTCAAGAAATTTACTTCAAGGTGAAAAATTAGAATAATACATAAAGATGTCTGTACAAGAATGTTCAATGGTAGTGCTATTTATTACATGGAAAAATAGTAAAACCACCTCTCCTGTTCAAATTCAGGGTGCTTATTAAAGCACATACATAAATATTTACATCTATAAGCACACTTTTTTGTCCCAAGCTCCTAGGAAGTAACCTCTATACTCTCGGAATTTCCCAAGTGATGGGGTATCTTTGTTATTCCGGGTGGGCCACAAACCCTGAGTCTAAGTTCAATCATGTGGGCAATCAATCATAAACACACCTATGAAATAACCCCCTAATAAAAATTTTGAACACCAAACTCAGGTGATCTTCCTGGATTTGCAATACTGTCCAGCTGTCACATACATGTTTCAGTCAAGAATGGACCATATGTGATGGTGGTTCCATAGGATTATTAGGAAGGTAAAAAATTCCTATCACCTAGTAACATCATAGCTATAACATCATAGTGCAAACATTACTTACGTGTTTGTGGTGATACTGGTATAAATAAACCTACTGTGCTGACTTTTTCTCATTGTTTTAGAGTATACTGTTTCCACTTATTAAAAAAAAAATCTAACTATAAAACAGCCTCAGGTCCTTCAGGAGGTATTACAGAAGGCGGCATTGCTATCATAGATGGTGACAGCTCTGTCTGCTACCACCTATGAAGATCTTCCAGTGGGACAAGAGGTAGAGGTGGACTTCTATACTAACCCTGTATAGGTCTAGTCTATTGTGTGTATTTGTGTCTTGATTTTTAGCAAAAAATTTTAAAAAGCGAAAGAAAAAATAAATAATTTTAAGATAAGAAAACAATTATAGAATATGGATATAAAAAAGAAAATATCTTTGTATAGCTATACAATGTGTTTGTGTTTTAAGATAAATACTATTATAAGAGTCAAAAGTTTAAAAACACTAAAACATTTAAAAAGTAAAAAAGTTACAATAAACTGAAGAAATATTTTTTTAAAAATTTAGTGCAGCCTAAGTGTACAGTGTTTATAAAGTCTACAGTGATGTACAGTAATGTTCTAGGCCTTCACATTCACTTACAACTCACTGATTCACCCAGAGCAACTTGTAGTCCTACAAGCTCCATTCATGGTAAGTGTGCCTTATACACTTATACCATTTGTTATCTTTTATGCTGTATTTTTACTGTACCTTTTCAATATTTAGATATGTTTAGATGCATAAATACTTACCATTGTATTACAAGTGCCAACAGTATTCAGTACAGTAACGTGTATTCAGTACAGTAACGTGTGGCGTTGTAACATAGAAAAAATAGGCCATACCATATAGCCTAGGTGTGTAGTAGGCTACACCATCTAGGTTTATGTAAGTACAATCTATGAGGTTCACACAATGGCAAAATGCCTAAAGGTACATTTCTCAGAATGTATCCCAGTCATTAAACAGTGCGTGACAGTATGTCACATAGAGATTCTGGGAGGGTAACACTTCCCCAGTAAAATGGAAGCTTCAAGTTTAGAACCACCCCATATTCTGTACTATGCATCACTTCCTTTGGCTATCTTTAACTATGTCCTTTCCCTATCTATAATAGACCATAACCCTCAGTATAATAGATTTTAGTGAATTCTCTAAGACATTCTAATGAATTATGGGACCAGAGGGTGGTTTGGGGGAACTGTCAAAACTTGCAGTTGGTGTTAGAAGTGAGGGTGGTCTTGTGTGTACTTTACCCTTTAACTTTGTAGCTGGATCTTACTTTCTTGCAGTTGGTGTCAGAACTGTTAGGCAGAGTTAGCAGTCTGAAAGACTGTGCCCTCAAACTTTTTGCAGCCTGGCTAACTATAGGTACAATGACATAACTAACAAAAATGAAAAAGATCATTCCATTTTTGGAAAAGATTCTATAATGATTTGTGTGTGCCTGTTAATAAAGAGGTTCAAGTTAAATCTAAATAATAGATAAAATAGTACATTCGATCCTAATTTCATATTTCTCTCAGGTGTCCAGAATGTCTTTTTATCTGTAATTATTGATCAGAAAGATTATATCAATGATGTTTTTGGATCACTCTCTAACCTTATCTCCTAGCACTCTATCCCTCACCCACTTTGTTCCAGCTATACTCACCTCTTTACTGTTCTTCAAACTGCCAAACTGCTCGCTTTACCAGCCAGGTACATCTTTACCCCAGTGTCCACATGCATACTTCTTTATTTCATTCAGGCATGCTCAACCTCACCTCAAAGCAGCCCTCTTTGGCAACCTTGCCCAAGACAGCAGCCCACCCTTAGGTTCCATGAGCTTGCCCTGCCCTATTTTTCTTCGTGGCACTTGTCACCACCTGACATACACCCTGCTGTCATGGAGCTTAGCATCCCAGTCAATGGAAACACATTAGAATGTAAAATTCTCTAGTGGAGGAAACTATTTTATTTTCTTCTGTCCTCATTCTTTAGAACAGTGCCTTGCACGAAGTTGGCCTTCAATACACATTTGAAGAATAAACGTTTATCTATTTTTTAAAAAACTTACTCTGCTCCAATCTCCCAGACAACCCTCCAAGTACCATTATCTCAATTTTACAACTGACAAAACTACACAAAGTCACACACCTAGATAGTTTATGACCTAGGCTTTTTTCCTCATGGTGTTCCCATCATCTTTGTATTATACACAAAACACAAAGTCATTTGAGATATCATTTCTGAAAATAAGATGTTAGGTAAACAGCATTCATTGACCAAAGCTATCAATGTGTCTCCAATCCATACATAAGAGTTTTTTATGCATCCTTAGAAATACAACAGAAAAGTCATTAAGTTACCAATAACTCAACCATTATACTGGCTATTTATAATTATGGATAAAAAAGAGATCACTGTGTTAAGAGAAAACTTTTGGGAATCCTTTCAAATGCTTATTTTAAAATCTACAGCAGGCATGATCAATTATTATTTTTTTCAAAAGCAAGCATTTATGCCAAGACTGATTTTTTTTATCCTCAGCCATGGCAACTTCAGTAAAGTCTGCCAGAGAAGATACATTGCTCAGGTTGAAGCAGATGGCATAATGATATGTGTGACAGGCTGAGGATCCCACATACCAGGACCTAAGGGCTATGGTATGCTTGCATAGGAAAAAATATTTGGACTTCTGCTAAGGTAAGCCAATGAATAAATCACATTCCAAGAATAGAGAGTCTATCATGAGGAAATTCATGGTAAAGTAGAAACTCTGATATTATGAATTACATGTGAAGGCATTCCAAGAGTAAAGTAGGAGCAGAACAGGTATAATCTTGCAATATGAGAATTGTATTAAAGTATTTAATATCAATTGTCTTCTAATTTGTTAAAGGTTTGACAAATGTCAATCACATTCCCCTTTACTTTCCCCTGCTCATGAGGTCTATGGAAGGTTACAGAGATAATAAATTTTAAAACTATAATTATACCATCATATGAAAGTATTGTTTTTAAATCTGCAAATTTACAATCATAAGAAAAAGCACAAAGATATCTTTTGATTCTACTATAATTGTTTATTAAAATGGCTTTCTGAACTGTAATCTCTTTGACCAACTGTAATGATTCTTATTTGCCTTGATAGGTGTGTTCATAGCAGACACTCTATAAATGTTTAATGATTTCCATCCTTGGCTTATAGAATATAAAATAAATAGAAGAAAACACAAACATCTAATAATTTTTATATACAGATAAACAATCTGTATAATTTATGGAAGTTGCTAGTAAATGAGCAAGAGTCACCAAATAATTATCTGTTCTCTGTTTAACTTCTGGCTGAGTATTTCAGTTTAAAAAGGGCTTTTATGTGCTTAGTAAATAAATATATATTAATTTATGGATTTTAATTAGTGTCATTACCTAATACATAACCTAAATAAAGATTATGCAAATTATTCAATTAAAAAGTTTGCAAATGATTTGTGAAAGGGCAGGCTAAAACATCCTTCAGTATTTAAAAGTATAGGCGAGGCCCTTTTACAAGATGCAGTTAGAACTAGTAATTGGCTCAGATACTCCAAAAAGTCAGATAAAGCAGATATCATAACAAAGGAAAAATATATAACTTAAGCATTTTATTTTAACTTAAAATGTATGTGTATTCATTCCTAAATATCTTGATATATGGATAAGGTCTTCTTCATGAATAAAAGCCCCCAATCTGGGAAGTCCCTACCTTCTTTGTTGCATAAACCACACTCATATAATGTGGTATTATGTTATACGTCAGTCACTTTAAGATAAAGCAAGAATTTAGACACTTGAGAGACAATTTCATTGAAGAATTCTTCTAGATTGTTATAAGACTTTTCCCCAATGTTTTATAGTTTGATCAAACATAATTAACGATTTCACCAACTGTTCTATCAATTCATCTATATAGTCTTTCAAAATAATTTAAATAGGTATTCATATTTAAAAAACTGTTATAAATTTTTATACAATAAAGTCACGCAATTATAAAATAAGCATTAACTGGCATAAATAGCTTTAAAAATGATTTTTTGACAAATGCATACTTATCTGGTATGAGCTAGAGAAGGACCCAAACTAGAGAGCATCTGAACAGACAAGTGGTTAGTGCCCTTGGCATCAGCCAACATGCCTTACAGGAGAAACTGACAGTATCTTCTTACCTAGCAAATTACCCATTTGTAGATCTGCTAAGAGAGCCGCTTCTATAATAACAGTCCAAGAAAACAAAATTTCTCTTTGATTCTGCATACAATTAAGCTCACCCCTTGGGAAAAGCTGTATCAGAGTAATCTTTCCACTGAGGACAATTAGAAAATGTGTGTAGGAACTGTTAAAAAAAAAATT